GTTCGCTGACCGATCTCACAGGCGCAACAACGCTCAACAAAGACGCAGTTATGCATGTAAAAAGTTCGGTGATATGTCAAGACCAATTTCCTCTGTTCGCACACTGTTCTTCTGGAATCATGCATTCATTCAAGGTTCGCGTTTAGTAATAGTTTAATGTTATGAGGAGTTCCGCTAAGGGAACATAGGCTAAACGCAAGAAAGCAAATGTTAATTAATTCACAAAATAATAATGTGAATGTGAATAATTAAATGCAATGGTTAACACCGACGTTGCCGCTCCCAAGCACGGTTGAGAAAGAAGGAGGGTTGGAGACCGCGGCGGAGTCTCCGTAAAACATAGCCACCTGTCGTTCAGGGTGTTTCTGTCATCGAAAGTTATACCAGCTCGATCGTCGCCTGAGGTATAAAGGGCCATGCAGGCTGTTGAGGGACTGAGGCAGACTGCAGACAGTCGGCGATCAGGACATTCTTATCGTTTTCTGGTTGCTGGCGGCGTAGCAGCATAACAACAGCTGATGAAAACCGGCGGAACGACTATGAAGATGTCAATCAGCAACGGAGTCGTTTTCCGCGATACTGCTTCAGAGTGGTAGTGGACATGGCGATTGCCAGGCGGAACGACTCCGAATTAAATCTACTGTATATTAACGGACGAAATTCCCCAGGTGACCGTCAGCCCTTCAAGTGGGTAGCAAAACTTCATCCGCGATGGCAACAGGAATAAAAGTGCCTCACTTTCGTGTGCACTCGGCCTGCAGTGAAAGCTTAGTGTTTAAGTGACGAAAGGGTCATGAGTATCACAGGTAAAATGCTGCCAGTTGCTGAACGAACCCAGACTTTCTCCCGCCGCTTGCGCCTACAACTGTAGAACTCTATTGAGTGAAGAAACGTTAAGCCAACCGATGGGGGAAAGGCCAGTGATCACCTGCGACTTCCTTGGCCTCTTCCAGATACGACGGTAGAAAGAGATTAATGGCTTCTGGCAAGATGGTAGTTCCATTTGGCTAGGAAGCGAAGAGGGCACGAAAGCCACAATAGGAATCAAAGTTTGCGTCAATAAAAGCTGGTTTTCAAAAAATGTCTCCTATGAGGTAAAGTCACCAAGACTGGGTGTGTTGTGCATCTAACTGAACAAGAACAAGACTTTGAAGATCGTACAACTCACTGCTCTCACGACTACAGCCGATAGTTAGGAAGTGGAAGGATCCTATAAATAAGCGAAAATCCAGGTAAACCCTCGTTGGGGGGGAGTAGACTTCAACGCCGAGATTGAACGGAGAAAATCAGGAAAACGTTGATCGCTACGTACAAAATAAGCGAAGAGATCGGCTGGTGATCATGGCGAAAGCGAAACATCTTTTATTGGCAATCCCTGGTTCAAGAAGAACACCAAGAGGAGGTTGATATGGGTGGTGGGTAACGCTGTGAAAAAAAGAGGTTGACTTCCTCATGTTCGATTGACACCTCGTCAGTCAAGA